TAAAATAAGCTGTATTTCTCACAATCACCTGCTCAGTTTCGAAAGCTATCGCATATTGATGTCAAAGAGCTTCGTTTCTTCTGATACCACAAAACAGTCTATTTAAGTAAATAAGGTGAATGCAAAGCAAATTATCAAACACCCAAGTACCAAGACACGTTAAGTTCAACCTGTTTTGCTAATTGTTCTTCAAATAATGTAGTATTTATCACGAACATACAACGTATCACTAACGAAAATAAATGTTCACATTCACATGATTTTTATACAGTTATTAAGCTGTGATATTTTACTTTTTAAATGCAACATTTTTCTATGGATAGAGTGGCCAATCCTCCGAGATTGTCGTGCAGGTCACACAATCTCATATTTGTTTTAATTAATTTCGTCTTAAAAAAAAAAAGATCTCAGTAGATAAAACAGTCACTGAAGCTGAGCTGTAAGTAGCATCCTGAGGGTCCGGCATGGCCAGGTGGTTAGGGCGCTCGACTCGCAATCTGAGGGTCGCGGGTTCGAATCCCCGTCCCACCAAACATGTTCGCCCTTTCAACCGCAACGGCGTTATAAAGTGACGGTCAATCCCATTATTCGTTGGCAAAAGAGTAGCCCATGAGTTGGCGGTGGGTGGTGTTGACTGGCTGCCTTCCCTCTAGTCTACCACTGCCAAATTAGGGACGATTAGCGCTATAGCTTTGCGCGAAACAAAAAAAAAATAAAATAAATAAACTTCACCCCCCCCCTGAAAATTCCTCTAATTTCGATTCCTAGGGTAAATATCGAAAAGACACAATAATCTGACCAAACTACTCGCTTTGCAAACACGCTTACGCAGGATGCGCAAGGTCAATTTAGCGCATACAATTTAATTGTTAAGACGCATTTTGTTTTTAACAGTAAAAATCAAATATCATGTAATATGATTGAAAGTATATCAGTTTAACCCTTTTCAACAGCATTTTATAATAGTTTACTTGCATTATTGTTTTGAAATTGAAGTGAAATTGTATATGTTCGATTAAGTAATTACAAATATTTAAACTATTACTTAGCTTGAAGGTCGACGTTAGATAGAAAATATAGTATATTACAAATATAGCTTTTAGTAGGTCAAGGACGTTTATAAAACATTTGTATTATCTAATCCATCCAAGTATATGGTATTATGAAATGTATTAATTTTTATCATTCATACTAATAAGATCACCAATACACATGGAACAAAAGTGTATAAATTTGAGTATCCAACCTTTTTTCATAAAAATCAGGGAATTTTTAAGTAAATAATTATCAACTTAGCAGCAAATTAGAAGTTGTCAAAAGAGATTTGTGGACTTTAATGACTTACATACGTTTTGTTCTTTAGATAAACAGATGGCGAACTCCAACAAACTGCTGTATAATCGTGTACCAAAGAGTGGCAGTGAGACAATGAACTTCCTACTAAATAAGTTATCTAAACTTAATGATTTTAAACACCACCATTCCCATGTTTTCGATAAACGACGTCTTAGTGAAGATGAACAGGTATTCGTGATTTTTGACAATATATATTATTTGTATATATTTTAAACGCAATTCACAGTCTTTTACATAATGACGATAAATTTGTGATTAAACTGTCTGAGTAACCTAACAACATAACGCACCTCTAGTAACTATGAAAAAACAGTAGCAATAAATTGATCTTAAATATAATATCGGTAAGTAGTAAAATACCTAAAAACTAGTTACATGCCCATAATGAAATTGGTGACAAAAG